TTTCTGCCACAACTATCTCTAAAATTTAACTTCATTGATCAGTTTCATTTGTACTATTCTTGTCTAGCAATTTATCACCTCAAACTTTGAATACTCTACCAAAGTATTTCACGAAGTATATTCTATGCAATGATAATAAGTAGACTATGGCAAAAGTGTCTTTGGTTAAATAAGTTTGGAAACTACTGCATTCAATAAAGGTATATCATTTTCTTCAGTGCAGGAACTTTTGTATTCTATCAACATTAGGAATCTCCAAGAAAGAATTCACTGCTTTCACCCTAGAAGAGATATGCCCCACTGACTTTGTAAGGACACACTTCTAGATTCTCTACCTATACCTCACTTGGGGGTGCTGGAGTAATCCCATTACTTGGATCATTGTGTTTCTTAAGATTTGGAATGAACAGGGATAAAGAATTTACTTGTGCAGGGGTCAAATAGATTTACCACGTGTTAAAGCCTCAAAGCAAGTAAAAAAAAATGCCCTTTTAACTGAGTTTGTTTGCCTTTACTCATTTGTAAGAAAAAAAGAAGTTAACATCCCTTTATTTGAGTCTTTTTCCCATTCTGTCTTTTGCCAATGCAAAAACATAATTTCTACCACTATCTATTACAGTATTCCTTAGAGGTAAAATTTCAGCCCTCTTGCAGGTGTTTTGGAAATGTATTAGGGTGTTTTTGGTTGACTCAATGACTGGGTGTCACTACTCAACTTAAGGGTTAGGAGTTAGAAAATCAAAAAGTCCTATGATAAATAGGACAGTTCTGAAAAATGAAGACTCTCACAGACACTTACGTAGGTGAAAATGCTGTTTATAATATTTGGGCATAAAACTGAACCTGTTTTAAACCTAAACATAGTTTTTGGCATTTCTGTATGACTTTATTATATACTAAGAGTCCCAGAAATGCAGTGGTTGAAACAAAAGACCAAACTCTGCTTTGTCTGAAACTTTACAAAGCATTTGCCACTATTTCAGAATATCATGCCACCACCAATACCACTTGTGCTATTTAATATAATCTGCACAAGTCTATCTGTATCAGTCACATTCATAGTAATTATATGTACCTGGCTACTTCATTATGTCTTCTAATGTAGGCATGCCTGAGTATTTATATATTAAAATATTACTGTACTTTAGTTTCATTTTATCCTTTATATTTTATTTAAAATATTACATATTTTTGAAATTACATGTATATGTGGGTTATATTATTTTTATTTTCACTTCAGGATACTAAAGGAAGCATTATAAAATATTTGCTTTCAAAAAAGGGCACTGGCATGTTGGGTTATGTTAGGGTGCTAAAAATGAAAAGAACAGCTTTTATAATCAGAAAGAAGAAAAGGACTTTAAGTCTGACAGGGCTGAAACCACTAATATAAAGATAATAATAATACCCTGATTCAAAAACAATGCAGAGGAAGAGAAGGCAGGGAAAGGGGCAGCATGAGCCTCTTTTTCACTCAGTTTCTAAGTTTCCACACTTTTGATGAAACATACCTTTACTGTGTCTCACTTTTTACCATTTCAGAGAACCCCCACTGTCCTGAACTACTGAAAGTGATTAAAACACTTACACATAAAAAGAAGAGTAAATATACAGCTACTGCTACCACAACTCCTCAGGAGTCTTATGAATCTGCAGCTTCCACAGAGGTGAGATCATCTTCACTCTCAATCCCAATATGGAACTCTGTGGTACGTATCACCCTTCACTTGGTAACAGAATTTTTCAGAAACACTTACCTCAGTAGTAGTTCCAATGTCAGCAGATGGGCTGCATGTGCTGGTATCTGGAGGAGCTGTGCCTACACTACTTCTAACTGGAGAACTAGGAACAGGCCCTGCCATGGTCTCTGGACAGGCTGAAGGACTGAGGTTGCCTCTCTTTTGAATTTTATTCCAGACTTTATTCATGATATCAGTTAACTCATATAAGAGCTGCACCTGAGCAGAAGAAAAAAAAAAGGAAAACAAGTCTTTTAATTTCTAGTCATAATGGACTAAAATACTAAATGTGAGAAAATTAAAACAAGTCCAGGGAACAAGTATAAACAAGTATAAAACAAAAATCAATGTATCACTGATCATGATATTACATGACCATCTATAATCTACAATATATAATTATAAATTATCATGAATACTTTATGGCACTATGATTCTGATGAAAGATACAGAGAACAAATTCATGTAAAAATTTACAATTAAGCATTTTATGATAATTTGATTATAAAAAGATCTAATGAATTTATTCACATGTGAAATTTGCCATGTATTAACAATTTTATAGCAATTAATTAAGCATTTTTATAGGAAAATAATACTATTGTTACAATAATGTTAATATAACAGGTTATTATGGGACAGTAGATTTCTTTTAATACATGAATAGAACAAATTCAAAGAAATGCTTCTTAAACTGAGGTCAGAATCAAAATTAGAAATCAAATATATAAATGCAATTATTTAGTGATATGTAAAATTACCATTTTTATTTCTGAATGATTTCCACATTTAAATTGTTTCTCTAAGGAATTTATTTGAAATTGGATTTCTTACCCAGCAAAATAAAGTGAAAAAAAAAAATGATATAACAGAATAGTAAAAGGAAAATATTATATATGAGACTTCTATAAAGAACATAAACCGTCCAACCTACTATTCCCCTCGGATTTGTCATTCCAATATTCAAAGAAAAAATGTTTAACTTGCACATTGTTTGACTAAGTTCTAAGATATTTACACAAGATTTCATAAATAAGCATTAATCATGGAATTTGTATGACAACACGGTGCCATATACTGTATAAAACAAGCCCAGGGAAAAAAATGCAAACACAATATATAAGCAAATCCACAGCTGGATACCATATTCTGCTTGCCATTAAAAAAAAAAAAAAAAAAAGCAAAATTCTCATATTTATAAAAAGTTTCAGCCCCAGGACACATCCAGATGATAAAGCTGGCTTCTTATGTGGGCAGAACAGATGCATAAAAATACTGTTGTCAATCCTTATTTGATATAAAACAGTACTGGGTTACAGTTTTATCCTGCTTTTTGTGTGATGAGGTTTCGAATCTAAGGTTATAGCTCTTTTTGTTAAAAAAAAATAGTAATAAACTAATGGCTAGAGATTTTATCATAAAACCTTAGAAAACTTTTAGTTCAAATTCTTTTGTCATTCGTAATCATAAGTTCTCTCTAAAAAGAAACAATTTTTTGCAAATCAAATTTTTAAAAGCAATTATTTTACTTTTTCTTAAACAGAACTGACAAATGAAAGCATAAAGCAATGAAAATAGGTTCTATATACTTCTAAGGTCATAAGGTTTATTTACTTATGGATTGATGCTGCTTTATTGTCATTCTTTCTGATTTTCTTTAAGCTGTTACCATTAAATAATTGTATATAAATGTCACCAAGTGCACTGTGTATTTAACGTGCCAAGCAAACACTGACAAAGTTTAAATGTTTTTTTATTTTTTAAAGAAGAGAGTTGCTGTCAGAAAATTCAGACTGTTTCCAAATTAAGAGGTTTAAAAAAATAAGGCAAAAAATTTGAAGGCAATAAATGTTCAACTATTACTCTTTTAAATGTACTGAAAACTATGCTAATTAAAGCCACAATGAGCTACCACTACCCACCTATTAAAATGTCTAAAATTAAAAAGCCTAACCATACCAAGGACTGGCGAAGAGGCAGAGCAACTGAAACTCTCATTTGCTATTGATGGGAATGCAAATTTTAGAATACTGTTTGGCAGTTTCTGAAAAAGACATTATAATATGACTCAGCCATTTCACTCATTTCTCCAAGAAAATAAAAGTCTATGTCTACACAAAGACCTGGATACAAATGTTCATAGCAGTTTTATTTTTTCAGTCTAAAACTGAAAAAAGTTATTTCAAATGTTCATCAATAAGTGGATGAACTTTGTAGTATATTCATATAACAGAATGATATCCAGCGATTAAAAAACAAAACAAAACTATGTATTCATGCCAAAACATGGATTAATCCAAAATAATTATGCTGACTAAAAGAAACGGGGGGGGAGGGGCGGGGGTAGGGAAGGAAGGGAGAGGGAACAAATAGACAGATAGACTACAACTGTGATTCCATTTATATAGAATCTTAGCAAATGAAAAATACTCTATAATGACAGAAGCAGTGGTTGCCTTGGAATGGGCAGAGAGTGAAAAGGAGGACTGACTACAAAAGAGCACAAAGAAACTTCTCAGCATGGTGGATGTATACATTATCTTGATTATAGGGATAGTTGCATGGGTGTACATATGTCAAACTATTAAATTAGATAAGTTAAACATCACAGTTTATTATATTTAAGTATATGCCAATAAAAATTTTTTAAATCTCTAAAAATGAGCACTATGTAAGGCAGCTTTATATGGGTTATGTATGAAAGTAACTGAACATCAATAATATCTTGAGTATCAAATATTGAATAAATATCAAAATGTAATATTTTGTTTAAAAATTAATTTCATATACATTTTCTCACTTAGTCTATGACAAATCAGAAATAAGATTTAAGAGACTTGGACTAGAGAGGCTAAGAAAAGCCTGAAGGAGTTACATTCCTGTAGGGCATACAAGATTTAGGTGGGTGCAAAAAGCCATTCTAGTCATAAGAATAGCAAGAGCAAAAGCCAGGAGATCAAAGTATGATGTAGGGGCTATGAAAAGTCCTAATCAGTTATGGAGAAAGGACTTTTCTTATAGCATATGAGTACACAGTCTGATAGAAGAGTTGTCATTAAGGTAGAGAAAAAGAAGAAAAACCATGGATACACAACATCAACGGAAACCAAAGCAGAATGGAATTTCAATAAGCAATTACTGATTTGTTTTGAACAGTGCAGAGTTCTAAGTGGAAACTAATTTAGATTCATTTCGCATGTGGATTGTTATTAATCATTAAAACTCAGCTTCACAAAAAAGGTTTTTGCCAAAAAAACATCCCTTTTCATTCAGAGCATTACACTTACCCATTATACTTACCTTTATCTAATTTTGTTTAAAAGATAATAATGAAAATCAGGGGCTCAGAGAAATTAAAAAAGAGTGGATTTAGACTAATCCAGTTTTGTCTAAATTCAATGCTTATGTTATTAGACAGTAATGCCAAATTCCACTGTCTTAGTGAAAACAAAAACTATGCAATAAAACTATGAATAAATGTATAGGAAAAGGAGCATAAGACCCATTTTTGCTCTAGTTCCACATTTAAAACACCAGAATGCAAAGGTAGTTTTTTTCCTGGAAATGCCTTATAGAAAGACAAAATATATCAATTCGTTTGCTAAGGGAAAATTGAAATTTTATTATATTAAAGAGAGGATTCTGCAAGCTCATTTAATTTTGGATATATATACAATGGAATGAACACAACTTTTAATATCTAAAAGAATAGTGTCTAAAGACATTAAGGGAATCAGGTAACTTTGGTAAACCGACTAAGATGAAGGAAAGGGTTAATGGATATCATTGCCCTTCCATTAATATTCAGAAAAAAAAAATACTCTGAATATTCAACCAGGTTAAATATTTATAGTGTCTAAGGCCCTCAAATGGCAATGAGTTCTAGGAACATAAATAGTACTTTAGGTCTCTATAGTTGATATTGAAACCTGAAACAATGTCTGATATGACAAGGAATTTTCTCTGGGCCTGCCCTACATATAGAGCTGGCACTATATTTTAATGTATACAAACTACTTGAGGCTTCTATATCTGAGCAATAATGAAACAAATTAATTAATGTACAAGGGTCAACACTTATGATATCACTCTAATGGATAAAGTGGTACGTATTTAAGTAGGAATGATTTCCCTAAAAAGGAATCAGGAAGCTTATGTACTGATTATAATCAAAAGTCCACAGAGTTTCTGATAATATATGCAAAGGCTATTGTTGGGTATTTACACTGTTCTGGGAAAAGGCTCATTGCTTTTATCATATTCTCAAAGAAGTCCGTGGCATAAAAAAAGACAAGAAGTACAGTTCTTCACAAAAACATAAAAACAAAAACAGATGGATTAGCAATCACTCTAGAGAAAGAGGTTTATTTTGAATCACTAATCTCAAAATAAAAAATAAAAACAGTACAAGAAATTTTAGGATTGTATATGCATGTGGATGTTGGTATTTTAGGGGCCCACGATACTTTTTTTATAAGGTAGGACACCCAGAAAATAAAGAGAGACATATATGTATGATTTCACTAAGAAAGATTAAACATTTTTGGCATAAAATATCATAAAGTTTAAAGGCGAATAACTACATTACAGATACAGGGTTTGTATTTATAGAGTATAAGGAAAGCTCTTCAAATTGCTAAGAATTTTAAAAGAAAAATTGGGTAAATGATATGAATTATCAATTCATAAAACGGCAAATTCACTGGCCAATAAACATTAAAAAACTGCTCAACCTTATTAGTAATCAGGAAAACACAAATTAATATAAACAACATGAATTGTCAAGTCACAAAAAAGCAAACACAATGGCCAAAAAACATTTGAAAAGATGCTCAAAATCTGGTTTCATTTCCCTTCAGCATGAAGGACTTCCTTTAGGATTTCTTGTAGTGCAGTTCTACTGGTGATAGATTCTTTTATGTGAAAATGTATTTAATCTTCATTCATAAATGTTATATATTTTCATTTAGAATTCTACATTCAGACTTTTTAAATTTTTCACAATTAAAGATGTTACTCTTTATAGTTTCCTATGAGAAGTAAACTAAAAATCAAATCTTGGTTCTCTTGCATGTAATGCATCATTTTTCTCATGATATTTTCAAGATTTGCTTTTTATCTGTGGCTTTCAACACTTGGATTATGTGTGTAGGCATGGACTTTTTCGTGTGTTTATCTTATTCATCTTTGTTTCCTTCATTCCTGGCTTATATGTAGTA